TCCTTATCTCTCTCTGCCTCTCCCTCTCTCTCTCTCTCTCCTCTCCCTCCTTCTCTCTCTCTCTTTCCCTCCCTATCTCCCTCTCCCTCCTTATCTCTCCCTCCCCCTCCCTCTCTCCCTCCCCCTCCCTCTCCCTCTCTCTCTCCTCCCCCTCTAGGTTTGTTCTCTATTAAGGTTCATACTCCCCTACATTAAACCAAGGGAGTTTGCCACAATGACTGATGTTACAGTACTCCCTCCTCTTGGCTACAGTGCTATTGCTGAGGCAGTTAATTCAGCCTCTACCATAAACCAGTTAGGATTACTGGACTGTCTGCTAGCAGTCATTGCTAAGGCATTGTCTGTGCAGGTGAAGGTGAAAGGACGTGGTTCTAATATTCTACAGGTAATGAACCAGTTATTTATAAATTACAAATTAATAATCATAGTACATTATCATACTAAGTACATTTGTACATAGCTATAAAATTTGAAGTGTTGACTAATTGCTTTTTAAATGGTGTGATTTTTTTTAAATTTATAACATAAATTTTGCAGGCTTTTTTGGAAATGTGTAAGATTTTTAACCCCCTACATTTCTGTGCTATATTGTACATATACATGTGTATGCATCAAATATCTCATATATTTCATTCCCTCTCTCTCCCTCTTCAGAAGTTAACTGGTGATTCAACTATTACTGCTGCAGTGACTTTGGCTGCTCTTAAAAACCCTAAGCCGGTAGCAGGAGAGACTCACGTGAGACCCCTCCGCTGGTATTTGCAAGGATCTATTGAGCAAGAGGTGGCAATTGAGATTGTTAAACTTTTGAAAGACATGACCAAGGTACAATCAATACACTGGTAGCTTGTACATGTATACTCTTTTAAAAAGTGACTAAAAGTTTATTCTCATATTATTGCACTCAACCTACAAGTACATGTACATGTACATGTACCGTATTTCCTTAAATAAAAGCCCGGGCGTCTATTTCCTAAAATGGTATTTGGACCTCGAAAAAATTTTTTAAATAAAAAAACTTCGGCTCAGAGTAGGATTCAAACTCGTGATTAGGAAGTATCTACAAGGCATCTGGGTTACTTCATGGCTAGATTTGTGTCTTTATACTTCAATTCTATTGCTACCCCAACATTTATTTGCATCCAGCTTCTATTTAAGGAAATACGGTACATTTTCATCAAAATGACCTACAATATATGTGTATTTATTATAAATTCTCTGATTCACATTGATGCCATCATTCACTATTGTTCATGTACAGTAGATGTGTCACTAATTAAATTCTTCGTTAATTAATTAATTTTATTATTTCTTTGCCTCACAGTCTGTACTGAAAGGTCATTGGAAAGACTATGCCAAGTCGGCCATTGGACAAGCTGTCCTCCATTTAACTAAAGTTAATGAAGAAGCACGTAATGCTGACCCAGGAATGTACTCACATACTGTAAGAGAGGGAGAGAGGGAGGAGGAGGTAGAGAGAGAGAGA